GTTACACACTGTAGTTACACACCGATCTTATGGATAGCACATTGCTCTCTCAGAGAATGGAACTATATTTGGGTAAAGCATGAAATTCGCATGAACTGAGCCAAATGGTTAATCGCATGTTTATCGATTTTAAATCCGCTTAAAGGCTTAAGTTAAATATTAACTTTGAAGGGATTTTTTCTGTTTTTCATGAAATTCTGCTTTCATATCCTTTATTGCAGAAATTTTTAATTTTAACGGCATCCTGTACTTCTCCGGGGAAAGACTTTCCTTGCGGCTCATCCTCATTTCAATTTATAATAAATGATAACATTATGAGATAAATGGATTTCTACTTGCAGCAGAGTAAATTCTTTTCTGATCGGAACTTGAGTAGGCACTTTTTTTGTTGGAGGCTATTTGTGAATTTTTATGTCCGAATTTTTGAATTTCAACCATTTCTTTATGATTTGGAACTGAAACATTGTAAGTAATAAACAAATGTTGTTAATTCCGCATCTGGAATTGACCTCCCATGCTTTATGTGGGCTGTAATTTGTAAGTTAGATTATTCTAAAGAAGAAGAAGTAGAACAAAAACATATAAGAAAATTAGCTTCGACCGTAATGCAAAAAAAAGACAAAAGAAGTAAATGAAGAAAATTTTCACGCTCTAAAGTATGGAGTGGGCGCGGTTGACTTTTTCTATTTTCAAAATAAAAGTTTTTGTCGTAGAGGCGATACCTTCATTTTCGCTAACGGGAGAATGTTTACCACAAATACTACAAAGTTGCGGAAACAGACAGATGAACAGATGTTTAAGTGCATTCAAGATTTGAATCTGACCAAGAATTTGTTTACTTTATGGAGGTTTTCAAAGCTTGTTTCTGTGCTTTGTAAAGGTGTTGAAAAAACAATTAAATTAAGATACACTATAATATTGGGTAGGCGTGGCCAATTTTGTGCATTTTTGTGCACGAATGCTACAGCATTACTGATAGAATATGCGTTCAAATCTTTGCACATTTATCTCGTATAATTTATGAGCGACGAGCAAGAACCCAACTTTTTATATGTTTTAAGAAATAGAGGTGTCCTCGGTTTATGTGGTGCTATGGGCATGTCGTTCAACCGGTTTCGTTCATTTACAATACTAACCCGCATGCAAGAATTTCCAATATTTCTGCCAAATTTGAAGTCGTTAGTATTATTTTTATGGCCAGGGGAATGTTTACTACAGACATTACGGACAGACTGACATGCTTAAATCGATTTAGAATTTAATGCTGATCAAGAATGTATATACTTTGTTGGTTATGTTGGATGTTTTCTTCTGAGCGTTGCAAACGTTTTGACAAAATGAACATACCATCATGTTTTGGTGATGGGTATAATAAAGTATTAAACGGTGGTTTGTTAAGAAAACATGAAAAATAGATTTTTCTGCTTTTTTGTCAAAAACAAAGCATGAACAGAAATTTTTGTTGTCCCGAATCAAAATTGATTTTCATATCCCATCGTTTATTATATGCGCGAGACTGTGTTTCGTGGTTACAAATGAGAAAGATGTTATTAGCTACACTTCACACACTCCATCCGGCAGTGGGATACCAATTGACTAGAACCAGCATTTATATCGTTATAAACTACAACGATAGCTACAAGTGCGGTTGTTACCGCTTCGGATGGACAAATGGATGTTGTTCGACACTTCATTCGAATTAAATTTGAACAAGCTTTTTAAGATATCCGCCAATGTGCGACTTGATTCCCTTTCAAATAATGTGTCGCGAAAATATATTCTCTCACATAAATAAAAGATACGAAACGACAGTTGCTGATACCTTTATGGTACAACAGCAATCATCGCCTTTTTATTGCGATGCGTGCACGGCTGATAGTTCACACAAAAACAAGAAGATATCCTCATTTACTTATGTATGCGGTACGTTTTTGTTGCGATTGATTCTGAATCGGTGTGAATCCGTTTTTTCAATGCTTATCGTTCCTTGTTTTACACATAAAATGGTATTTTTGTTTTATCTTTTTTTGCACGTTCACCTTTTGTTTGCAATCGTTAGCGTAAAAATACAAATATCGTGTTCCTGTTGTTGCAACAGCAGGAAAACCAGTCTCTGCTCACATATACATATTTGCTAAGATGTTATCATTCGTTTTGGTGGAAGCAAATAAACCTCCAACAATGCGAATGCAAACAATGTATTGATTGCAGTGAAATTTTTCCTCTCTTCATTGATTGTAAATATAACAAATAACAAAAGAATTTATGTAACACATGTATACGCGTACAAACATAGATAAAACTCATTCTCAAATATATGAAATATTTTCAAAATAATTTAGAAATAGTACCAGGCTTTGCCAAATATAATATATCGAAAAGAATTTCTAAAAAAGTTTCATTTACCTTAAAGGTTACCGTATAATCCTAAAATTAATCTTTATTCTCGTATTTTTCCAACTATTCGCTTATATATGTGGGCACATACGTAAAACAAGTATAAGAGAATCCTTTTGACCACTGATTAATATAACCTCGAAGGGAAAAATATTTCCCAAAAAAATCTGTCGATCCCAAATTGTGTTTTCTCTGAATGATTACACGACCACACGTTACCCATCATTTCTAATATTCTCGCAATGAAGTCAAACGTTCGCAAAAACCACTTTCCCTTGAACCTTCCTGATCTATCTAAAATATTTTTTAACTAACACTACGAATGCACATAAAGACAGATTTTTCTATTATCTATAAAAAACCTGAATGATCAAACAAAAAGGTCTTGTTACGAAAACCAAATATTTTGTCAAACAAACAATATACATAAAAACTGATCAGCATGTGTTCGCAGCGGAAATTTCCAAATACGAAGACTAAAGAAAGCAAATTATGTTCTTCGGTACTTTATCAGTCAGTGCCATAAAAGTAGACTTGATCATGCAGCTGGGGATTAAGTAAAAGTCCTTTAGTAAGGCATAAAGATCGAGAGTCCGGGCAAACATACTCCGGACTCATTCTCCTCAAGACTACTCTTTACTAATGCTGTTAAATTTTGGAACTCGTTTCCACTCAATGTCAAACCAATTGTCAACTGTAGCAGGTTGCAGTTCGGTCTAAACGCCTTCTATACTCTATAATTACGTATAGATGGGTGCTTAGCTCCTATATCGTACAATGTTGTTATGGTATCCATATCTGTTCATTTAATTTTCCAAGAAAACATGCCGTAGAGAGAGATGTATAGCAAGTGGCGCTCTGGTGCTGAAACTAAGTCATTTGCATTCGTAGCATCAATGTTAGCGCGAAAAAAATCAGCCGAGATCTTTCGGTAGATTATCAGTCCAATGGTCGACTTAGCAGCATTTTCAAAAAAATTTAATCCAATTACATCGTCAATCCGAAAAATGCAATAACTCGCCAAGTTCTATGATTATTTGTCTTAAACTATCGGAACCCTAAGCAGGGCAAGTTTGCTACGTCGTATGAATATGAGTCTCATTAAAGTCATGATCTCACTCGTGTATTTGCGGGACACAACAAGCAAATGCATTTGAAGAAACCTGCTAGCATTTATTTCCCAAACGTCACCAAAGTGGCTGTTGTTCATAACTTAAATTTAAAATGAATAGAAACAGAAGCATTTACTTCCAAACAATGATCAAAACTATTTGTACCCAAAACTTCTCACGAATATCATGCCGAATCAGAATTGAGCCTTTTTGTTGAGCCATCGGTTAAAAGACGGTTTAGTCAGAAACGAGATTCTCGCATGAACACTATCTTCAGTCCATCATTTCTTACCGGTTTTGCAGTACAAGGCCATGCCAATCGATAATGATTTTCGCACATTCCGGACACCCTTTCTCTTTAATAATCGGTGCACAGGCCCCGATAATGGCTAACAGAGTGTAGCCGTGCTTTTATTGGGTTGGAACACCCCATGACATACTATACCCAACTAAGCTCCATAAATGCGAATGCCATAAGTAATTGGCTTTTTCCTCATCATTGATGGTTCTTCAGGATTACATCACGAGAGATGAAGAGAGAGAGAGAGAGAGTGAGAGAGAAGTGTATCTGGCAAAACATTTTTTTGCTACAATGAAATGCACTTGGAAATTATGTAAGTGGTCTAGAAGGCTGATTTAGTTGGTTTTTAACCCAATTTGTGAATGATAACGAGTAGTTATTCGATTTCACGCTACTCGCGATTACACTTGAGCACTTCATAGAGTGTGTTACATACAATTCACATTATAATCATTTATAGCCACTTTTCACGGTAATTATAATAAGCTTTTATTTCAACTCATATCCCAAATTTACGAAAGAAATATGAATTATTGTTGCGATTATGGAGGCAATGCCTACCAATGAGTGCAAGTGTATTTATGATGCATGGAAAGAGTTCAAAATAATGCTAGAAATGTAAATACGTATAACGTGAAATGAATACAAAAGTGAATGAAAAATGTAACGACCGAAAAGCATTAGGAAGCATAGAAAAAAAAAAAAAAAAAACACAGAGACCTACAGAATAAATAAATCAGAATAATAATGACAGCTTGCACAAAAACATTATGAACTTTGAAATGAACTTACAAGTGCGGTTAGAGAAGCAAAACACTCCGCCAAATCCGAACTTATTATTATGCAATGAATGGGTAATAAAAATTCAAATTTTTTGGGACAGTTTGCATAACAAAAACAAGCACAAGTTTTAAGGAAAAGCTCCGTAAACAAGTTAACAATACGAAAAAAAAAAAAAACAACAACAATTTATGTAAAGACAACAAATACCAATAAAAGGCCGCCAACCGGAAACATGAAATAAAAACAACAAAAAAAAAACAAAATCAGAAGAGAGAAAAAAAAAAATAGGAGAGAAAAAAAATTCGCATTTTCTTAAATAAAGGATAAGGAAATGTAAATACAAACGAATTCAATAGGCGTTCTTAGGCGTTTTTTATGCACGTTTCGCTAAATTCAATCAAACTTACCTGAAATCGTGACGGGCATAGCAGTGCCCTAAGAATCTACATTGCAAAGTACTGCACTGATATGGCTTAAGCGGAGCCATTTCGTAGGTTATATTAAATCCATAAACGTCCAATAAACGATCTAAAGCTCTTAGATGGGTACCGTCCAGCGAAGTCATTTGAAAACTTATTTCCAGATATTGCGAATTGAACTGAATCCAGGCCACCTTAGTAATATCGCCTTCGGTTAATGTGAACACGCTATGAGCTGGCACTTTATAATCATCGGAATAGTACATGTATTCGGTAAATTTGAGGCCACTTAAAACGTAGAGCTGAGTCAAGTAAACCACAATAGATGCGTTATGATGAAATGAATCCTTTACTGCATTCGAGGCGTCAATTATCCAAACGCACTCGATCGGTGTTGCAAATTTATGTGGAAAATTTGGTGTTTGTATAACACCATTACGCGAATTCAGTACACCACCACATATACGTGGAGAAGCTTTCCCGCCTAACAATGATGATGTCGACGACTGGGCTTTGAAGATCGGCACAACATTAAGTGATTTCCTCTGATATTCAGTGTAATCGGATGAACCGAAAGAAGATAAAGCAAATTTGCTTACATATGTTGGCGATGTATGCAAGCGTGCACTTCGTAAACCCGACTGATAAATGGAAATTTCAGATCGAATTCGTGAACGTTTAATACGCCGCGAACTAGTATAGTATGTTTTAACCGCCCCTTTCAATGCAATCTCATTCGTTTCTTTTTCCTCGTCCTCTTTATTATTGTCAGTTGTGTATTTTGGCCGAATTTCACTTTCATTCCATTGCATCAAATTATTACCAAATATGTTTTCAGCTTCATTGGTTTGTGTAGATTGAATGGGGAAAAACAATAGCAGCAAAAAAAGCAGCTTTGGAGTGAGAAACACCGTCATCGGCATTGACTTTGACTGTTCAAGCGTCCAACATCTTTGAACAAAGGCATGCATATACACATGCACCGCACTTGAGAGTTTCCAAACTTCCTCGATGCAATTTTAGATTTTTGTACACATTCACTTTTTTTTAATCTGCAACAAAAATGTTCGTAATATTTTTCAAGGCTCCATGAAATTTTAAAAGTTTTTCAAATAGTTTGTAAAGCAAAAAATAATTTTGTTTTACTTTTTAATTTATATTAAGGATTTTACAAAGCCATCAAACATTCGTTAGTTAACTTTGATTTTGTGTTAAGTAAATTTAAATAAATCATAGTTTATTTAGTAAATTATCCCATTTTCTGTTATCGTAAAACGATTGCACAACCAAAGGCATAACCAACAAACATCCGTATGAGTTATAAATAATTAAAGGAAGCGTTAAGTACTAACATATGTACATGAATACTAATATCCTCAGCTAGATATTTGGTATTTATATATGCGTCTGTGAAATATCGAATTATTAACAATATGCCCAGGCATTCGTTTTAAGAGGTTTTGAATGTAACATACATAGCCCATTGAAACGATATATAGGTTTATGTGAAGCAGACATAATGTTAGTTCATAACATAAGTGAAACGAAGTATTAAACAGAGGTACACGATAGTAAAAAGTCTAAAAAGAAGAGAAATTGAATGTGAGGCCCTTTCTTAAAGGGCCTACGTTAGTCGTTTGAATGTAATCTTCAAGGACGATAACCAAAACGTTTCATTGTACTATCATCTTAATCGTGCTTAATGCTTAAGTGACAGCATCATAGGAGTTTTTAACAATGGAAAATGATTGAATTTGCGCCTAACAAGTGACATTGAACAGAAGCACTACTTACCCTCTCTAGTTTAAAGTTAAACTAGGGCTGAATTACATTGATCGTAAGACGCCACCTCAAGTTGGTCACAATATATTGACTGTCTACTACACAGCCTTTCCATGGATACTCACAAAAGACCAAATTTTCTTCCAGTAATAATGATGCTGCTGCTTACTTTGCTTTTATAAAACTGAAAGACTAAAATAATATGGGATCCTGGATTTGGAGAAATGCGTCTCTGGAAATATGTTCAAGAATCTTGTGAAGTGTTAGTGCTTTGACGAATTTGAGGATTAAGTTAGCATTCAATGAATAAAAGTCACTATTCCATTACGATTTTTCAGAATTTTTAAAGAGAAGTAAAAATTCGAAAATTTTCATCCTTTGCAGTTATCGATGCATTTTTCTGTACAGTAAATGCAAAGCGCAAAAGTCTAATGTGTGGGAATTTAACACTTAACTTTAACACTTTAACACATTTCCCCTACCGTTAATGTTTGCAAGACAAGTTCCTCTAGTATCAGGTGAAATTCGAAATAATCAAAAAGTTGATAAATTGTTGAAATGATCGTGACTTTCTTATTTTCTTTGAATTTTTCCATTTGCAGCACTACTTGACTTTCCCAACGATATATATGCTCATTTACATTCAGTTTTGTCTGTGCTAGTACGACAGGTAGTTCAAGGTATATCCTGCCGATACAATAGATTCTGGTCTCGCTAAATCCACCCTATTATAAAGGCTATCAGGATATACCACTTATTGAGATGTGGTGCCAATACATCAGATATAGTATTTTGCAAATCATTGCGTTTTCGTGAACATAATTCGATGTTTCAGAATTAGATTCATATACCATTCATATTTAACTAGTTTCACGGGATTAGTCGACCACCCTATGAATCGTACCGACAAGTTTTGAGTGGGAGTGTAGATCTTATTTTTTTTTTTTGAGACGCAATGAAAATTCATGGATGTAGGTTCACACAAAAAGTTATGCACACAGACATTGCGTAAGATTCAATGTGAAGCAACATTGTGTACACACGAAGGCTTCGTGAAGTTTAATAAAACTCGCATATATGTGCACATGATAGGTAGCCTAGGCGCTAGCTAGTGCTTGCAAATATTCGAAATCGGTTTTGAAAATCCACCTGCAAAAGTCGAATATGACTTTGTATGACTTAAGTTTCATTTCTAATTGTATTCTTCAAAATCTGAGAATTGCAATAATAAAGAGACTATCAATATTAGCTTTAGTCGAGACTTCTTGCCGCTCGCATGTTGTTGAAATTTTCATCCAAATCGAAATATAACGCAAATGTAAGAAGAAATTGAAGTTCACATCTTTTGTCGATTTAATCTCATATAAACCTTGAATGTGACAGGAATCTGGTTAGAAATATGGCCAAAACATTGAAGAAGATATTAATGTCTTTAAAACAGCTCCGAAGGAACTCTAAAAATCAAAATTTCGTTAGGTAAACATATTCAAAGTACATAAATTAAGCAACTTTTTTGTAAACAATTATCGAGGTCGAAAGCAATCCGCCATCTCGCAGACACATACCATATAGTCATAAACTTTTGCAAACTTTAGTCTCTTTAAAAATAATCAAGTGGTGTATGTTATAGATAGATATAAGTACTGTATGCACAAGATAGTACATACATAATAATAAGTCGTACGGAAAATGTGTCGAAATAATCGTAAATATCCCGCATGTGTTGATCAATAAATGTTTAGGTCTTTATAATTATTGAATGCAGGCCATAGTAGTATGTAGTGCAAATATCGTCGAATACGTCGTGAACTTCAATGAATATTTTTGCAATATATCAACACATCAAACTTTGTCCAGTGCAACCCATTGCAAACAAAAAGAAGAAGAATATACCAGTTTATCCTTGTCGAAGTTTGATTACGGGCCAATGTGTTGATCTCAGGTATTCCAAAACTATTCTAATTCCAATTTTCATGAGTTCATTCGTCGTTATCGTAGCCGCTAAGTTTATTGAATTCATACTTAATTAGCAATCGTCCAATTTCTCCATATCTCAACTTAACCCATTGATCACAAAACTTCTTTGCACGAGGCTAGTATTTATTTATATCGGACTATAACCCAACAAATGTTCAAAGTTCATCCTGCATGCTCTCTTTTCTTCTACTACGCAAAGCAAGAACTCGCCCGTAATCAGCTAGATTAAATAAGCGAAGGCGTTGGAAGTGAGAAAAACTATATATATTTGTTGGCGGTTTGGGCGGAGAGAGATCCAGATGGTACATCGTTCATCGTCTAAAAAATCCGAAATATTTTTTAGAAAAGGACGATCTTGCTACTATAAGGAAAAAGGATAAGTGATCACTTTAATCTGGAGAGAGCGATACAAAAAGTTGGGAGCGGCTTTATTTATCTGGGCTAAGCTATCAGACGGACGAACAAACGACCTTTGTGTTCACGCTGCTTAAAAATGTATGCAAATACTTCATGGAATTGACGGGAAATATTTCGAAGCGTCACCAACGTTCAGTCAATTTAACATTGCTGCGTAATAGGTAGAAAAATGTGCGATAAACATACAAGGGAGACGTAGAAGACGAAACGGCTTATCTTGTGCACTTGTTTGCCTCCTTTGATATTTTGTTTGTTTCCACACTTTTCAAACAGAACTATATTGAGAGGGTTTACAATATTGAAGCAGAGTTAAAAGAGTTAATAAGTAAAACATTGCACAACGTGCTTAAATCAACAAAATTTAAAAATTCCAATTATGAGATTGACTTTCATGAGACTGACGTAAATTTGCATTCATCAGGAATGATGAATGATGCACACTAGATTTATCTTCTCCCTTAGGGCGTCCAGAGCAACATAAGTGCAATGCTCTCATTCGATTCTGACCCGATTCTAACAATTTCTTACTATTGTTACTGTCATATGTTTCATGTTCCTGGAAGAATCGAAAAAATTAGAGAAAGGAGACTTGACATAAACTCATACATTGGTAATTTAGCCACAGGTCAACTCGGAAAGTAAGTATAAAATATGTTCCAAACAGTAACTGAAGGGGCAACTAAAACTTTCGTACTAGGAAAAAGTAATGCTCACTGATTAAATGCATTGTAATTTTTATTTTGAGCCAAGGAAAACATTTATGGATTCTTCTTAACGACCTGTTTAAAAGTGTGATTACATCTACTATATTATCTACTATATTAAGTCGAAATTTTCAACAAGTTTTTTGCAAGTTTTTTGAAGCATCATTACGACTATACTAAGCCGTCAGATCATATTATGACTATAAAGCTTCATGAGCTAGTTAAAGCAATGTAGCGCGGGCGTTTAGATCCTTCTATGCCATCAGACCATATTAAGACTATAAAGCTTCGTAAGCTAGTTAAAATAAAGTAGTTCGTGTGTTTGGATCCTTCCATGCCATGTTGTAGCCGATCAATTGTTGAGAAACTCTTTGGAGCTCTTGGTAAATTTGAGAGAAATTGTTTTACGACATCGATGCAGAGATGAAGTGTTTCCAGAGAAAACTAGTTATAATACTTGGGTCACACAAGATGGTAATATGCAAAAAAAATCGTAATCCAAGCCGCTGTGGTAAAATACCGACGGGAACCTCGTAAGATAACGTTTAGCGTTTGATAAGGTTCGAAGGGATTCGTGTATTATGAGCTGGTCTATCCCGACCAGACAACTGACTACACTCTCCACTGTCAATCAGTACCTAATGAGCGGCAAAAACCGCTTGCCGTCTGTTTCGTCTTCAGCGGCATATATTGGTTTTAATAAAATTAATGAAAAGTCGCTACGAAATTTTTACATATACTAGACTTGACCAGCACAACATCCAAGATTCATAACAAAGCAGTTTGCTTTGTTCCGCTTCTTACTTTCCTTTAGTTGTAAAATGAAGTAAATAATATTTCCGTTACATTTTTAAACATCAAATCTTGTGAGACGCGTAGTAAGATTTAATAAGCTCTAAAAGATTATTGACTTAATTATGAATTAAGAAAATATTAAAAATTATTAATTAAGTTGAAAATTAAAATAAAACGTTTTAGAATATTAAGTGAGATAGAAATTTCAATTTACTTTGAGTTTGAAAAAGTAACGCGCAATAGCGCAGCTACAGATTTCATGGAGATGTTCCTATAGTGAGCATTGATTGTAGCGTACATACTTGATTCCTTGCTTTCTCCATTTTTTGTTACCAGCGGTTACTTCTTTGTTGTATTGTGTATTTATTTATTTATTTATTTTCTGGTGAATGAACAAACAATTGAACGCACAACAATGATGCTGCATAATCGACCAATAAAGACTACGAAAGACAGAAACGGAGAGGTAACCGCATAGTTCTGCAATCAATTTCACTGAAACGGAGGTTTTTAGTTGATTTCATTTCCGTTGATATATTTTATAAGACGTAATGGTGATTGTTTGCAAGATCTGGGATGAAGGTACGGAAAAGCTCGAAATAAATGAAATCATTCCAAGTGTGACGACACCTGATGGGGTCTTGGAGATCGAATCTTTACGGGCTTAGTTATGGACATGAGACTGTTTCCCTCACTGTTTCTTTCGCTACTTTAACGCATCTATACAATCGTACCCTTAAAAAGAATATAGCAATCTTTCTCCCACTGATTTGGTGTCGTATGGTGAACGTTGACATCGCAAATGTTTGCAAAATATGTCGGTCGATCTATTACAATGTAGAGAACAATTTCGATATGTTTATCTTGGAGGATGTGTTCGTAAGATTCCCCTCGAAACTAGTAATATTTTTACATTTATTTTGTTGTTGTAATTGATGTTGAACGGTTGTTATTGTCGTTATTTTTGTCATAAATTGTATTACTCGATACTTCACTTGCTTGGTTTCATGTTTATGGCCATAGTTGAAGTAATTTTGAATATTTTTTTTTAGTTAAGATAGAAAAAGCAAAAAAAAAAAAGAAGCATTTTCTCAGTTCATTTATTCAGTATTGTCTCGCATTCGTTTCATTCAAATACATACAGAAACACTTTGCTGTTTGTTTAAGTAATTAAGTTGTTCAACTCTCGTAAAGTGTCAATTAGAGATAAAGAACATTCACGCGCACAAATAAGCGAACACGCATACACAAAAACATGTACATACAAAGCAATTGCAATTTAGTTTAGAGTTAGCCCAGTGAATAACGATATTTACTAGTTTGTGGTAAGACAGTAGTAGGTTAACACGTTACACACGTTTATTTTCGTTACACGCTTAACGTGACAGTATGATTGTGTGTGTCGTCGAAAGAGAAATTTATTCAAATTAAGATTTTATCATAGCGGTCTGCGCTTTTGAAAATGTCAAACAAAACAAAACAAAACGTGAATATTAACCTAAAACAAGAACATATTCGCGAAAATTTACGAAATATTTCTTTATCAAATATTTAAAGATAATTGTGCGCGAGAATTCGTCCGTAAAAAAACTTTTCCATGGACCGCCTATCTTAGCTTTGATGAAGCCTTTGCTTCCTAGTCCTAGTTTCGTTTTAAATGCTGATTTTCGAGCCAGTGCCAGTAATTCGTAACTTATTTCCTTGAAGAAAAGATTTTCATTGACTATTATTTGTATAAAATAATTTCAAGATAACAACAATAATACGGTTGACGTTGAAATAAACCTTCGAGTGAACATTTAAAAGCAAAAAAAAATAAAAAAAAAATAAAAATAAAAAAAATTAAAAATAGAATAGAATGCAAAAAACGAATAAAAATAAATTGAAATAAAAAAGACAAAATAAAAACTATGTGAAATAAAGAAAGAAATAAAAATATTGAAATAAAAAAAAAAAAAAAATTGAAAATTTCTTCTAGGCTTTTGTAAAATCAACCTTCTTGCAGTTATCTCTCAAATCTAATCTTAAATGTAATGATAAAAATGCCAATGAGTAGCTGATAACAAAAGCCTCTAGATAAACGAGCGAATATTATAGATGTGTAAATCAAAGAAGAAAAAGAAGAAGAAGAAGAATACATTAATGAAAATCTACACTTGGAATGCTACATGCGCTTAGGGCTGATTATTGAAAGTCGATATCATTTCATAAATTGATTCGTGAAAAATCTGCAAACGAAATTCCACCTTTGCCGTCTTTGTTAAGAATACCCGCTACACGTTGATGGCTAAATGGACAGATGGGCTTTGCAAGCAAACGAATATATGGCCATACCTATTCGTAGATTTCTGTCCATATAATGCTACTTGTTGCCAGATGCAAAAGTTTTACAACAACGTATTGCTCACTTAGTTGATGTTGATTCATCAGCAACAAGAGATACTCAATTGAATGGATACGGGAAGAAGATCGCGGTAACCGAAGACAGTGGATAAGGAATAAAACACAAATTGATGCGCAAATGTTAGGAATAAACAATGAAATTATGGCCTGTTTCCCACGTGTTTTTTTTAATAAGCAAAAAAACAGTTTTACACCAGCTGAAGATGAAAATCTGGACACAGTGTTCAATGCTAACAGTAACTCAGTAGTAAGTCGTGAATTTTAAAAATTTGTTTAACACCAACTCACTAAGAAAACTTTTACTTATTTCATACGATTTCAATGTGCTTCATGACACAATCATAAGAAAAATGTTTACTTTAACATCCACCAACAAGCTTGTGTACTTCTACACAACTACTTCTTCGAACGTCATAGTGGCCGTTTGTTATCAGTTTGACAAATCATGATCGAAAATTATGTACAGAAATTGATACAATTTATTATGCAAATAGAAAATAATCCGTATAGTGAATCAAACGCTGACCGACAAGGAAAAGTGATGGATAGATGGTGTTCTCTAGAATTGAATTTAAAATAAGTAAGAAAATTATATTCGATCGTGGCCGAATTTTTTATACCCATCACTGTGATTCTAAAAAGAAAATGGGAAGAACTAAGTCTTTATACTCTGTAATATTAGATGGGCATGTTTGATTTTTTTCTACTCTTAGAATAAAAGCGGATATTTGTATGGAGTGTATGTTGTACTTTACGAGTAACAAGCAAAAAACCGGAAAAACAAATGAGCTGACCGTTTTTGTTTTACAAATATGTGGGCGTTGGAGACGTCTTCTTTTAAATGTGTTGTTTATGGTGGGGGGGTTTATCACAGAACTACGAAGCTGCGCCGGCATTCGGACAAACGGACCGGCTTAGGTGCATTCCAAATTGCAAACTTGCCAAGAATTTACATACTTTATGGGATTTTCGAACTTTCTTTCAGTGCGTTCTAAAAAAGTTTAAAAAAAAATTTAATTTATGAGACACTCATTCTTCGGTGACGAGTATAAAATAATTATCAAATGAAAATGTCATAGACTGATGTCTAAAGTAAGAACAAGTAAGAAAATCATCTCCCCTGGAATCAAAAAATAATTCAACCCATCAAGATAATCGTAAAACAAACGGAAAATAAAAGTTTTTTCCGCATTGGCGCGTAGGCGCTGTCTGTGGAAAAGTTTGAGTCACAAATACTTTTTTAAAACTTTTTGGCGGTATCTTCATTTTCGCTAACGCGCCTTATGAAGGTCGCGAAAAAGAAATTCAATTTTGATACACTGTAATATTGGACAGAGGTAGTCAATTTATTCCAATTGCAAACAGATAATAGAGGATCGCCCGCAAAATGTGGGTTCAAATTTTTGTATCTTTATCTATTATACTTTATGAGTAATGAATAAAAACCAATTTTGTATTCAACTTTTAACTTTTCAACTACACCGAAACTCAGGAGGGTGATCGCTGTGTAAAGTATTGGTTGTTTCGTTTGGTCGAATCGTTTGCTACGCCCCCAAGGAAGAATCAGAGACACCAAAAAGTATACATATTCTTGATCAGCGTTAAATTGTAAATCGATTTAAGCACGTTCCTCTATCCCTTTGTGTAGTTTTTGTTGTAAACATTTTCTTGGCCGCAAAAATGAAGTTGTCGACTTCAAGTTTGTCAGAAGCATTGAAAGTTCTTGCGCGCATGTTGGTACTGAAAATGGGCCACATCGGTCGAAAGACACGCTCACAGCACAATGTACACTGAGAACAGCTGTGTTTTTCAAAAGGAATAAAAAGCTGGGCTTTTGCTCGTTACTCATAAACTATAGCAAATATATGTAAGAATATTCTACTGATGATGCAGCAGAAACAAGCTTAAAAACCGCCATAAAGTGTATAAATTTTTGAACAGTTCCACATTTAGAATGCAGCTAAGCATCTCCATCTGTCCGTATGCGCAACTGTGTAGTATATGTGAGAAACGTTCTTCCGTTAGCGAAAATGAAGACATCGTCTACAAATTTGCAAAAGAACACGGCTACAACGCCCACATATCTATGCGAGAATAGCCTCTATGTTGAAAATTGAAAAAATCAGTCGAGCCCACTTAATATTATAGTGCGTCAGAATGTAGTTCGTTTACTTTTATTGTCTTTTTTTAAAATAACAATGGAGAGTATAAAGGATTCGGTCACGATCGAATATAATTTTCTTACCTGCTAAGGTCTAAGGTGCGTATGTGTGCCTACCGTTTACAGTACAAGAAAAAAAGAGAACAATGCCTTAAGCGCTTAAGGTTAACTTTCTTAAATCGATGAAAACTGTTTCTCTGTCCAATGGTGTTTCTATAACGAGAATACACAAAATGGCCTGATTGCTAAACAACGTGTACGTGCTTTAGGCATAATTTAGCAAGAACTCAATTTAAAAATCATTTCTTTTTTCCTCTGCTATGATTCATTTGTTATCAAACCAATGTATTTCGCCTTTGAAACCTAAACAGTATATGATGGTCAGGAAGATGCGGTATTTTGTTCGGTTTTTTGCTTTCAAAGCTTTTTATATAAATATAAATATAAATATAAATATAAATGCTAAAATTTAATGATATATACCAGAATATTAAATACTGATATATGAAAGTGCTTATCAGATAAGACAGACGTCTTTGTGCCAGTGAATGTTGGGTATCCCATGTTGGGAGGCTTGTATTTAAAGACGTGTAAATCAAATGATTCTGAATCAATAGCTTGATAGGCATGACTAAACCGGCTTGTTCCTCGATCATAGGCCTATAACTGATACATAACTAATTCGAAAGTAAACATTAAGTCTGTAACTAACAACCAGGACGACCCGAAAATGAATAGTGTCCAAGATTCGCTCTGTCATTTGGTTAACCCTTTTTCTTTTTTTTTTTTTAAATTCCCTTAGCAAATTGGCCGTTATATACGACGTGAGGAAACATGTCTGTTTAATAGCAACGCCAACGAGGTAAATTTCATTCGACATTAAATTGAATCTATTGTTATTGTTGTTTCTCGCTTTCTATTTCCTACAGCGCCTTAAATTGCAACAGCAACAACGACAAAGTGTTTTGAATAGAAGCAATCACAGCAGCAATAATATCAATAATGATAGCAAAAATATTCATAACTTGAATGGTAACAAATGCATTACAAAAAATGAAGGGGAAGAAGAACAGAACATTAATAATAAAAAATATCAGGCAAACACAAAGCGATTACAAGCAATCAATGGAACTTTATTAACTAGTCATAAGGAACCAATCAATCAACCATTCAACGCAAAATTGAAACCTGTAAAGAGTAGAAGGCCAACAGCTTTACCTCTGGAAGTGCCAAGCATTGAGGAGGATTCACGCGTCAATTCGACGTTAGAAATTAATACTGCATTAGCTAAACGAAAAGCCAAGTTTTTTATAGGCAGCAGTGAAACCGATGATGACAACGATGATGATGATGATGATGATGATGATGTCGATAGCAACTTTAGCAGCGAAGAATTGGATGTTGAGCCGGCATCTTGTTCTTCCCCTAATACTTTAAAAACCTCAAATGCTTACAGTGAACCCGGTATGAAACCAGCAAAGGCAATCTCGACAACATCTTGCGTTTCTCTGCCACCATTTAACTCACTCGGTTTTGTCAATGGACGGCATCGTACTGAGAAAGTCTGCAGCACTCTTAGCAATAAATTCGGCAAACTGACACGCAACGATACGACTTTCGCAAATTTGTCGTCAGAGCAGTCCGCCAAAGCAAACGTTCATATACCCCCTCCACCGCCCTTACCAACTCAGCCATTGATAAAAATCGTCAATCGCACTTCAAAATACAAACGAAATTCTAATCAAAATAAGTTATCTTCGCCTACGGTAGACATTGGTAGAGAGAGTAAGTCTTCCTCCGCATCGGAACTACCTAATAAAGAAGGACAAACAGGGAGAGCATCCTTGCAACCTACTGAATGTGTAAACGTAAGAATAAAAAACAAGTCTCAAGTCCACTTGCGTATATTTATGAGAAAATCAAAAATTAGTTTAATTTAATTTTTTTTTAACTGGAATTTTTACTTCCAGTTAGGAAATATTAAAGCAGTAAGAGAGAAAATTGAACTGAATTCGAAGAACCCGTTGCATGCGCGCCATGAGAGTCGAGTAGAGCTTACAGGATTCTTTAGATGTAAAAAAGTGACCTTTAATTAGCAAAGATGTGACGCCACGTCCACACTTTAGCTTGACGTAGAACTTTTCCTTGAAAGTTTATGTTTAAACTTACCATGGCCCTCTTGCCTATAACCAAATACCAAACACCCGCCCAACATCACATATATAATTTGGTCAACGTTTCTAAATAATTACTTTGAGTGAGGAAGCTTCAGTCGTCTCAGTTGGAGAATAGTTGGTACTTATTAGTTACTCATATCCGCGCTGAAATTTTCAATGATCTAGAGAACTATGTGGCCCAAGTTTTAATTCTTCAATCTGACTATTTCTGGGTTGAATATTAAAAGGTTTCTCTCTTCCTGCCATTGAAACTATGGCATTACATGAAAGTAAGATGTAGTTCGACGTATTTCATTACGAAAATAAGAAACGTTTGCAACCTCTAGAAGGAAACATCAGAGCCCACACAAAGTATATACATTCTTGATCAGCATCAAATCCTAAATCGATGTAAACATGTCCCTCTGGCCGTCGGTCTGTATATTGTCTGAAGCTACTATCTTCAATATTGTCAGAAACGTTGGAAGCTCTTGCACGCACGTTGATATTGCAAATGAGCGAAATCAGTCGAAGGACACACCCACTGCGCAACGTAAACTGAGAACACCTCAGTTTTTCCAACGAAATAAAAAATTTCGGGTTTTTGCCCGTCGCTTATAAACTAAAGTAGATAAATGTACGAAAATTTAAACATTTTGAGGTGACCTAAACTCTCAAAGGACGTGTCTACAACGCCCACGTGCAACGAAAATATTTATTTTGACTCCGTGCCATTGGCCGTGAAATTGTAGTTCTTTCGCTTTTTTGCCTTTTCGAAGATAACGTTGATGGATTGAATTATTTTCTGATTCCAGGAGACGTCGGTAAACCTCAAAAACTGTAGCCCAAGGGAAAATGCCGCTTCTTGTCGCCTTGAAGGCGGTCTCATATTTCCGCGAGCCAATTTTCCCGGAAGGAACGATGTAAAAATTGAATACATTGAGAAGGATGAAACGTAAATACTTTTTGTCGTAATAGTACGCTTGACTTAAGCCATCTAAAATTTTCTCTTATGCTAGTACGCGCAATCTCATACGACTGGCCATAGAGAAAAACGATTTTCTCAATAATTATATGGATAAGGAACGTAAAGAAATGGTTATAGATGCCATGGAGTTAAGACATATCAAAAAAAATAGCTTCATTATTAATGAAAATGAGGAGGGATCAGAGATATATGTATCCGAAGAGGGGCAGTTCGATGTTATTAAGAGCGGCCAGATAATTGGTAGCTTTGGGCCTGCTACCGTGTTTGGCGAACTTGCCATTCTTTATAATGCTCAACGGTTCGCTTCGGTGAGAGGTAACTGATAGATAAAAATGTAATAGTAAAGAGGAAAAGCAAAACTTTCGTTTCTAATTATTTAAGCCGCTTCCAATGCTATTGTGTGGAAAATCGATAGAGATAAATTCCGCCAAATTATGGTCATTTCTGGCTCCAAGGAACGAGAGGAAAATTTAAGCTTTTTGCGTTCGGCACCTTTCTTAAACGATCTCAGCGAAGAAGTTTTAGACAAAGTAGTCGATCTGCTGCGAAGAGTGAGTTTTTAAAAAAAACTTAAAATATATGTGTAAGAGAAACATATTGTCCTTCTTTTTCCTTTCAGAAATTTTTTACTACCTATACTTGTATAGTTAGAGAAGGGGATATTGGGAATGAGTTTTTTATAATACGCGGTGGTACTGTTACTATTAAAAAGAAAACAGAGTCGGGCGTAGAACGTGTAGTGGATAGACGAAAAAGAGGAGATTTTTTTGGAGAGCAGGCGCTACTGAATGCTGATCGCCGTCAAGCCAGCGTTTACGCGGATCCCCCAGGCACCGAGGTGCTAAAATTAGATAGAGAGTAAGTGTTCCCTGCCAAATCTCGCGAATACATAAAAGGGTAATAATACTGTGTTTTTGCACTCCACAAGGTCCTTTTGTGACGAACTCTAACCTTGTTGGAAAAAGAAAAAAGGGCACAATATTTTTTTATATTCTGTTTGTGCAATAACCACAGGTTGTCGACAATGTTTACATAAAGTATGTACACTTTGGATCAGTTTAAAATCTGAGTCGGCGTTTAGTTAGCCATCGAGTATTGTTCGAACGGTCAGCCCATTTTCAATAACCCTACTCCTAGTGCCAAAACAATTCAGTCAGCAACAATGCTTTAAATATCTTGAGAATTGCCATCTAGAAGTCAAACATAAGAGCATTCGAGGGCACAAGTAAAGAGATAATATTAACTGAACCATTTTCTGAGTCGAGTGTAATGTCGAGTGTGTGTTTCATTACACTAATCGATCTAGAATTCGGTTCTGAAACGATTTAAGGTTGTCTGTCCGTCTGCATTACGCTTCGTCTATCTGAGCTCTTTCGATGTACCTTTGTACTCAACCTACAGATGGCGATTTTTGAGATATTGCGATGAAGTTTGCTTCACTGATAGGTTTTATCGACGACTGCTATTTTGAGAAGCGGTATACAATCATAATTTACAAAATCACTTTCTCAGCAAACATTGCCGAGTAATGGTAATTCGATCTACTGAATAGATGTGAAAAACTTGGTCCGGATGAATCATTTTTTTGTTCTTTTTCTACGCAGAGCAAGTCCTTACATGGTGAAAAGATGAAGTTTTTAATATTTTGCGATGAAAATTGGCCCATAATAGTAAACTACTGGTAACAAGCTTTTATAGAATTGTTGTTGCACCAGAAACCTTATAAAAGTTCTGATGCAAAGCAGGCCCTTAAGAGATCCCTTTCATGGAAACAAGGTATAATTTTTGTTATTTTGGGAGGGAATTAGGAGGAGAATTCTATTAGACGAAGTGATGCAGGATATTTAATAGTCGGCCTATAATCTTGATTTACGTATTATTCGTTTTCTTGTAATTTCTATAGAGCGTTTATTAGCTATTTGGGTACCATTCCGCAACTACGCGAGTTACCGATAGAAAAGGCCGACCAAGATGCACGTGACAACAATCGAAAATCTGAATTTGATAATGAATATGCCTATATAGAGCTGATGGATCTAAAAAAAATTGCCACATTGGGTGCCGGAGCTTTTGGGAAAGTGGACTTAGTGGCCTTCGGGGAAAATACCTTTGCTCTGAAAATCATTAAAAAGATTGATGTTGTAAAGCAAGACCAAATCGAGCACGTCTACAGTGAGAAGCACGTTATGATGAAATGCCGCGGCTCACCATTTGTAATCGAGTAATTATTTTATGTACTAGGCTGAGAAGGCTTTTTAATGCTTTTTTGTTTTTTCGTTTTTTTGTTTTTTTTTTTTTCATGTACAGGTTATATAAAACTTTTCGGGATGATAAGTTTGTATACTTTCTTATGGAAGCTTGTATGGGGGGAGATGTATGGACAATTATGTCCCAGCGACGTTATTTCGATGAGAACACTGCTCGTTTTATAGCTGCTTGTGTAGTGGAAGCTTTCGATTTTTTGCATTCGCATAACATCATCTACAGGGATTTGAAACCTGAAAATTTAATGTTAACCACGGACGGTTATTGCAAGTTGGTAAGAAGCATGAATTTTAACAGTTTTTGTTTTAATAACGAAACTTAAATAAATATAAACATAAAGGTCGACTTCGGTTTTGCGAAGCAATTACCAGTCAATCGAAAAACTCATACCTTTGCCGGAACACCAGAATATGTTGCACCTGAAATAATATTAGATCGTGGCCATGATCGTTCCGCCGATTATTGGGCTTTGGGTATTTTAATATTCGAATTGTTGGTGGGGAAGACACCATTTCGTGGACAAAATCAAATAAAAATTTATCAGCAAATATTGGGTGGTATCGATGTAGTACAAATGCCTTCAAAAATTCCTAAACCAGCACAAGGATTAATACGAGCCCTGTGCAAGCAGTTACCGGCCGAAAGGTTAGGTTATCAGCGAAGAGGTATTATGGATATTAAAAAGCATGGGTAAAAAACAAAACTATCTTCCATTAGCTATGACGTAAACTGATTTTTGCTTTCTTCAGCTGGTTCGATGGCCTGGAATGGCAAAAGTTGAAGAAGAAACAGTTAATATCGCCAATAAAACGTCCAATAACGAGCAATGTGGATTTACGCTATTTTGGCAGTCCTGACTCAACAGCTGTTGACCACGATCCGCCAGTGGAAACAAGTGGATGGGATGTGGATTTTTAAATTTTCAAAATACTTCTACTACCGCTTCTAATAGAATTAATAAAATTAAAGATAGGAAATTTAATCTAAGGACAAATCTGTCATTGGCAGCATTTTCGTGCCGAAACTTTAATGCTTCTGTAAGGCTTTGCCTATAAGCTTAGAAACATAGTGTCTCTAGTTTATTAATTATTGATAATAATGTTAAGGTCATGCTGTGAATCTTGCCTATGATATGTTTATAACTATTTTCTTGGAAAAAAAAAAAAAACTTCATTATTATTATTTTAAAGTGTGACATCGTTTCTGAACACTAAAAAAGCGCTCGAGAAAATCAGATGTGAATAATATTTTGCAAGTTTTAAAGAGTAATGAGTTTAATAAAAGAAGACTCAAGTGCTATAATTTATTCCTTCTTTGAAACTGAATCATCATCCTATTAGGAATTAAGAATGCAGAGGCGAAAATGTGTATTGCACATCGTCCGCTTACCATAAATAGCTTGGACAACTAATTTCCATCTGGATACTGTTCATTTGGTGATGGATTTCTTAAAAAAGACTAAGCTATAATAATAATTGAAGACAACAATGAAGTTGTGTGAAAGATAATCCAAGAGGATGAACTCGATGGACCTATAATTTTGTGCCTGATATTTCGCAAGTTCAGAATATTGTGTGGTGTCACCGCTTGTTACGATATAATGTGCGACTACGAAATGCAAGTATAAGAAGATAACATAAGTGAAGCTCCGATTTTATAGTAGACAAGCAGCTCCGGTTATCCATCAAAAAAAAATAATTGAAACTTATTTAAGGAGAGGTGAAAAATTTAGTGATAAAGGTGCATTTCTAAGTATGCTAAATAAATTATAGGGAAAAATAACTACAGCAATCAAACGAGCTAAGCGTAAGTAATACCTAGAGTCAACAATCGAAAGCTTGCTTAAACACTTCATATAGATTGAAAAAGTATCCCTTTCCAAAGCTTCTTCTTTGTTCCGTAGCACGGCGATTCACTTAGGGCTAAATAACAGCGATTGAAAGTGCTTTTACGTACAACAAGATACCCGATATTTGCATCGAAATATGTTATAATAATCATTTTGAAGAAAAACATTACTGCTCTGTCACATAAATCAGCATCTGAACGAATGGTGGATAACTTCAAATGACGAAAGAAAGTGAATAAAGGAATAAATAACATAATAAACTATAAAAATGTTTAAATAGAATGATAGCAGCGAGGAGCTACGGATAAGACATGTAACATTACTAAGGTCTATGAAAGAATCAATTGATGAATTAGGTGTTCGAAAATGCAATGAATCCAAGGCATTTGAAGCGTGCATGCAATGCGAAGAAAGAAATTGTTGCTAAAGATGATTCAAAAGTACCTTTTCTTGAAAGACGAACAAGTTGTTCGCTTTCTCACAACATCTCGCCTAAGACTCAACAATTTTCATCAACAGAATGCGTATCAAACGGTAAACAATACTCTTACACCACGGTAACGCCCTTTCGCAAATCAATAGCTGCAGGAATCAACTTTTCTAAAACCATAAAGTGGACCAACCTCTTCCTATTCGCAAAAGTCAATGACCCATAGCGGCAATGGACGCAACTGAAGTGTACATAAAACTGACTTGTAAGATATCTTTATAGAATAGCAAAAATCTGAAGAATGATGATTGGAAAAAATGAGAAAATCTCTTTTAAATTCAATGGAAAAACTTTATAAAACAACGCGTAGCAGCAAAACAGTGAAGACAAATAAACCAATTCGGATAGCAAATGGAAAACTTATGTATATTTATGAAATTCATTTTCATAGTTTTGCTAGACATGTTTTGCCAAATCTTGTCATTTGAACTAAACATTAACTCGGAACGACAATTGAATGACGAATTTGTTACATCCGTAGATTACGCTGGAGGATATCAAAACAAATATGAAGAGATAAATAGAAAATTTTCATTTGAATAAATTTATAAAGACAATATAAATTTTATATGTAAATATAAGAAAATAAATATGTAAATATAAGGAGAAATTTAATTTAATTTTTAAATAAGAATAAATATAATTTTTCTATATTTTTATTTTATTGATCGTATTATATTTCATTGTCTATATATTTAATATAACGTATTTTCAATTTTCCGTATGGGATGAATTATAATAAAAAAAAAAAAAAAATAATTGAAATCATACTAAAGTACAAAAAAAAAAAAACTTAAAAAGCATATATGCGTACATACATATATGTAAGAATTTGAATATTAATAATACAAGTATTTGTTGATATAAAATAAAGCAAAGTAATAACAACACAAATGATTAAGTTATGATAGTGTAAATTGCCGCCCAATCGACAGCACGACTGACGATTTCATCGTCTTCTCTTTCTCTCATTTATCCCCATTCGTTCGTCTTTTCATTTTTATTCTCTTCTCATAGTTATATATGTCCATACTTTAGTGCAAGGCATATAGTGTATATATATGTATGCATATATGTATATATATATGTATGTATGCGTAGTTTTTTCGTCTTTTTAAACTTTCATATATAATTCTAGGTTTAACGGTCTTTGGAAAGATTTACTGGCAGTACTTTTATAATATTTCCGTTTATCATCCATTTACATGGATTTAATGATACGCATTTCTTTATTACAGCAACGCGTTAGACAGTTTTACCGGAAAATTATCATCAACTTTTCGCATAGGTGTACATTTCAATTTACTCTCGTTCAATCAATCCTCTCCTTTATCATCGATATGTCTATATGACGTTATAAGCGCCTTTTGTATATAATCATAATAATGACGACGTACATAAAGCATTTCGAATGCGGTTTTAATAATTATTTTTGTTACATATGCTACCTTTGCCTTCAGCATTTTTCATTGCTTTCTCTGCTTCAACGCATGTTTTTCATTATATAATTTCAAGGATGGGAGAAATATCAATTTCAAATTTCAAGAGGATTTAAAATTGCTTTAAAAGATATTCAATAAAAAACATGTGAAAACATTATAATCGATAGAAGACCGACTATTAAATACCCTAAATCACATTGCCTGACACAATTGTTATTTTTGCCATAGAAGACAATAAAAGCACCAATGCAAATCTTTTCCAATAGCGTTTGCCATCGGGCCAAAGCACATCAGTGAACCATATTGAATCAAAATATCTCAAAAATTGCGACCTATAGCTTGAATACAAATTTACATGGACAGGCATCAGACGGACAGACAGGCTTAGATCTGAATCTACCAGTATAATAAAAGGTGTGTCTACCTTAAGTCTTTCCGTGTCGTCGGGCCAAAACACAACAGTGTACTAGATTTCATCAAAATATCTCAACAATTGTGACCTGAACACAAATTTACATAGACAGATATCAGACGGACAGACAGGCTTAGATCTGAAACTACCAGTATGATAAAAGGTGGGTCGACCCTAAGCCCTTTCGCATGTTACGTACATTCAAACAAACTTAGTATAGCCTGTATGACAAGTGTAGAGTGCAGAGTATAAATAGTAATAATAAAAATATCAAAGAACAAATATTAAAAGAGAAAGTAGTTCATATAAATGTTATTTAATAAACAATGAAAGAAATAAAATAAATAAAAATTTCAAATTTATTTTCTTTATTGTGAACCAATTAATTTTTTTTTTTTTTTTTTTTTTTTGTCCACAAACAAATGCCCTAAACGCTGAGCTCGTTCTAGTGCTCAGAATCATACTTTGTGCAGCTTTTCTCCTTTTCTTACAAGCGAAGCTATACTAAAGATACTAAAGACAGAACAAAGAAAAGTATTAATGGTACGGGTGAGCTATAAATTTGAACAATGTTCGATAGCAAGAATTGCCGGCAAAATGGCCTTTCTAAATAACAAGGCAATAATCCTATAAGAAGTAGAAAAATATTTATCAAATGATTTTTGTTGATGTCCTGCCACTCAAGAATTATATAGTTAAAGTATTGCCAGACGACGCATTGTGTAAACTTTCAAATGTGCTCCAGTTCTAGCACCTCTACGGATAGTAGTTTGAAAAAACTCTCGTCTCACAAGGCTTACGTGAAACACACTGTGAGGTGGTCATAGAATTTCAAAATGCTCAGTAATAGTATTTCGAAGTGAATTGATTTTGGAAGATATAGACCAAACAGATAAATTTTTGGAACTTCTTCCGATACGGCAGTTTATGGGAAAAGTAACTAAGTATTTGGATGGCAAAAAATCGCATTTTTAATAGCCCTTAACGAAAATTGATTCGTAATATCAAGTCAACCTATTTTTTGTACTCCGTTCCAAGCAAGAATTCTGATGGAAAACAGGTTTTTATATGGCAACGAAGTTTAACTTAAAATGCAGAACAATAAGGTCTTTTGCAAGAAAACTAAATTTACTCAATTTTTTATAGGCACATCTCCTACATGAAGGCTGCAGGAAGAAGTGCGCAACAACATTTAATTTCTGATATTTTATAAAAAATGCAAATGAAGAATTGTATTAGGGTAAATAGCGTAGGATATTTAATGACCAACCTTGGCCCAATTATGTTTTCACTTGTTATCTTTTTGTTTTATTTTTAGTTATAATGCGATAGGTAAACGCAGAATTTTAAGTTTAATCAATTCACCTGAATCCCCATTGCATTGTACATATACATGCATAAATAAATAAATAAGTTACAACGAAATTTGAAACAGTTCAGTTTTATTTAGTAATTAGTGCAGTACCGGCTAACCTAAGTCAAGCTAAAGTTTAATTTAATAAACAAAGGGGTATTAAACGTCGGTGGATATATCTAAACCAAGAACTCTTTCTTTGGATACCAATGGAGTTAGGGGAGGCGGATGAAGGATTTCCTTCAACCATCTGGAGGTTAATCTCGCGGTAGAAATTTTATGGTTTCCAGGCGAAGTTTGTGTATGAACTGCTACTCTGCTATAATTGCTTTGCGACTCACTTGGATCGCAATTGATCTTTTTTCCGGCAGCGCGCTACTTTATTTGGTTAGTTAGGCTTGTTCAGATATAATAATTCCAGCAGATCTTAGAAGTTCGTAGTAGATGACATCCTCGCGTTTTCGCCAGGCGGAGCTGCGTCGCCCTTAAGGCTATAAGTTTTGCACAAAATGTGGTAGCCCCCTTGTAACTGCTTCATAGCTTATTACATTCTCCTCTCACCTTAGCTTAATCATTTGCCTAGGTTTAGATGCATTTTTCCGCAGTTTGAAACAGAAAAGCATGCAAAGCCTTGAATGCTATTTGTTAGCATGCATATCTTCACACTTTGATATGGACTAAAGGACAGCTGTAACTGTGAGCGACTTAGGTCTCCTAAATCGAGTAACACGTATATCCAAAATTGAAAAAAAATGTACTTGTCATGTAGACTTTGTAAAGCGACCAATATCAACATATATAGAACTTATTTGCCGACCTAATATATTTTATAAATATGCGACATTAAAAAGTAAACAAAACAATTAGAAATTAAACAAAAGCAAAAATATGAGCACGCAACCAAAAGTAAATCATGCATTGCGACAACTAAAGTATGGGAAAAAGTTATTTTATTTATTTATCATGGCGTGCGTGGATATGGGTAGCGCATAATTACAAAATGCAAAATAAATTTAGAAAAATAAAGCCCTTTATAAATTCGTGATATTTGCGAACACTGCTGAAGGGTCAAAAGTTTTCGCAAATATTGAACTCATGAACTCGAAACAATAGAATAACCATAACACAATGAACACCTTTTTCTACATCAGCAAAGGTCAGTGATGAGCAGAAGACAATTTACTTCACACTGAACATAATTTTTTATTCCATTTTCCTCAATTTTTATCTTCCGTTTTGTTAATAATAAAGTCCAGCTTCTATTATTATGCAACATGAACTGATGTAACGACGATGATGATTGCCTTCGCATGAGTGAACTTCTGAACATAAATATTTGAGATGTTGCCTTTGTTTCAGAAAATAACTGAAAAAATGATTTTAGCAAATATGTTATGTGATGCGTTTGTAAAGCTTTTACATGAACACATACACCACATTATTTATTCACTAGCATATACACAGCACCATATGAAAAAAATCAAGATTTGCAAATGGGAAAATGTTACGCATATTCACAGATTTTCCATTTTCATGGGTTTCTATGTATTTACCGATAACTTATTCATAAGTTTTGCATATTTTCATTTATAGCTCAAATGTTTACATTACATTAAAACTATTGTTTCTTTGCAGATTGCGTATATCGTTATTTTAGACCAATTGTAGTTCCAAAACAAATTATAACTACACAGTCCGGTAACGACGGCTATTTAATAGTCTACACCACTTCACTTAATGCAAGCCTTCATCCATCTTTGTCATAAAATCATAAAATTTTCTTTATTTGCTTTATTTGTGGGCAAGTATTCCAATAGGGGTGAACTGCCGTAGTCCAAATTTAATTTAAAATTCATTTCATTCTTCACTTATTTTCGTCGTTTGTCGTCTTTTTATTAAAAAAACGCGTGTTTGAGATATGTGGTCCAAGAAATGATTCCATGCCATTCAAATTTTCCCCATTTATTTATTATTCCTATACACTGCTTTAGACGAGTTTTATGGGCAAATATTAAAAATGCAAATTGAATCTTTATAATAATTTCGTTTTAAATTAGTCGCTATGGGGGAGTACCGATCCCACCTATATTCAAAAGGATTCGTTTTCAAGGCAAAGCAAAAATTACTATCCGAAGACGGAATTTGAAAACACGTGGACAGACATCGGTCAATCGGACATGCAAGCTTAAAACGGTTTAGAAAATGACCTTGAATTGATTTCTATTCAAGTTTCTCTTCTGGGTGTTGCATAAAAGCACATACACGTAATATACTTTTGCTACGAGTAGTGTTGGATATGAAAAGACAACATAGCAATGAACACTGACGTATATAGTACTGGTAAAGTTAGCATCG